AAACTGCCACAGGCCAGAGCTTTCACATATATTTTTAATGGATCTGATTTGGGATTCGATCATGGACTGTTGGGGTATGCTGCTGCCGGAGTCTTCGTTCGATCTCACTGTGCCACGGTTGTTCTCATATATGAGGCAGGTTGATAGGATAAAGTCACAACTCTTGTTATCGATGTTTACCTTTCTGAGCAAGCAATTCACATCGTATTGAAATGCAAAACACTTTAAATCCATCTGTTTTGAACAGTAGCGTGATTCAATGTGCAATACACTTGAATAGATAGTGCAAGATTTTCAACATTTCAAAGTTTGAAACACTATAAATTAACGTGTGTAACACATTGAACCAAGGTGAAATACACTTAAAGTAAATGTGATTGTGCATTTAGAAAATCAAGTGTTTAAACACTTCGATCAAATGTGTGAAATTTTTTGAGTGTAGGTGTAACTTTCATTGCTGATATTATTGCTCCACAAAATTTGCTCTCACCATTCATCACTGGAAGGAACCGGAACATTTATTCTAGTGACGCTCTCGTCGAACTCACGTTCACGCTCTCGCTCAGTGAACTAGTTCTAGCTCAGCTGTCACATACAGTCTTGTAAGCGGTCACGGTAGTCGACACATTTTCTGTGATAATTGACTGCCTTTGCCTCCGACACTTGCAAAACAAGCTATCATAGTACAGTACCAAATTAAAATGTCGTATGACAGGCCGAAGACCGTCACGAATGTATGTATTTTAGTTTTTCTCATAATAAGAGCTGCTGATGGTGTGCTTGTGTGAATTCTGCAAGCAATGATGTCCTAGTAATAATATTTCTGATAAGAAATGGTTTGATTTACACCAAATTGAGGAATTACAACAAAATCACACATGTCATATGATAGCTATTTTGATAATTTTCTTTTAGCTCGAATGTTATTCTACCGCTCGTGTTGTGTGAGAGAGACGACGGTAGAGCATGAGTGTTCGAATACAAACAGACTGTCGCGCACGGCAACGGAGCGAGTGTAGTAAAAAACGTCAACTGTTTCAACCTCTGGTCACATATAAAACATACGCTATCGTTCAGCTTCCTTTCACACTCCCGCTCAGTACAACTAGCTCATCTGTCTGCTATGAGTGGTGGTGTGTGGTGAGCGTTCATACTGGTGAACTCAAGAGCAAATTTTCATTACGTCGAAAGTAGCAAAGGTAAACAAAGTCGAGCTGTCAGTGCCAATCGATGCTCCTGCTATTACACTATATACGGTACGATTATAGGATCACATCCCATTTTCAAATTTTCGCTATGATCGGTGTTTCGAATGCCTTTAGTGGACCCTACACGACAGTTTGTATTGACAATAATCGTATTGTCAATACATTTTATATTGACGTCAATACATCGGTATTGACAATATTTCTGTATTCACATCATCAATATTATTGTCAATACTTGTAAGTATTGACAATATTTCTTACCGTGTGAGGTTCGCTTTTGGATACGGTTGTGTTTTAAGTTTGTTCTCTGTTTTGTGCGTGCGTTCGCATTCATAGTTTTCGGTTGCATTTGCTGGATTAGTGCTGGCATTCTGCCTCCCGGATGGTTATGCGTGTTTGATTGGTGGTTTCTCGCTTTCCAAGAAGTTTTAGAATCGAGAAAGAAAACATGATTCATCATGTTTGCAAGCAACAGAAGTTTTGACGCCATCTGCGTTGTTTGATTTTTTTTCTACCGGACCCGAAATTTGTGGCATCGCGAGTGATAATTTTAATTTTAGTTTACTTACGCGGAGATGATGTTGGTTCACTCGCAACAATTTTTGAAAAAAAAAAATTAAGTGTTTTCGATCGAAAGTGTACCAAAAGTGCTCCTAAACGTGTTTCGCAGTTGGATGTGGTGAAATTCGTACATTCCCGGTTTATTGTAGAAATTCCGTATCACAAAATTGCCCACCGATTCCTTTTTTTGCCGCTCGAGGACGACGGGTGTGCTTTCGCGAGAGTGACGTTTATTGGATCCGTTTCTTTGCACGGATTTTTTTTTGTAGCTAGCGTAAGTTTGCCTGCGATTACCTCCCGGGGGCCGGTTCACCGTGTTCGGATGTCACGCTTTGATCGTGTAGTTCTATCGAGAGTCTCGTCACCGTGTGCGAGTTTGAACTCGGTCCGGTTGGCAAAGTGCTGATAATGTGTCCGTTGCGAGTTTTGGTGGTGATTCGGTAGTCGACGTTACCGTGAATTAGCAAGTTTACGGCTTACAAAAGTGATCGTCTGCTGGTCAGTGTAATGCCGTGGATACACTTGTATGACAAACTTTAAACATGAGCATTATTTATATAATAAATTATGAACACATCCCTGGTTTGGTTCTGATTTCGGCGTTGGTCGCGAGTTGATTGGGCCGGTGAAGAGTTGCCATCGCGAGTGATTGGTGATGGAAAGTGGATACAGTCCTTTTTTTCTCTGCTGAGATCCCTCTAGAGTGTATTTCGTGGTTGATAGGGTTTGCTGTGCTGTGTGAGAACCGAAAGGCGAGAGTGCTGTTTTTAACACCGGTTGAAGAAGTAGCGGCAGCATATCTATTGGAGTTCTTCGAAATCATCGTGATGTCATGGTTTCCTTTGCAACATATTGGGTGAGATCTTTTCTTTATTTTTCTCGCAATTCCATTCTATTGTTAGTCATGTTAGTTATACATCACACTTTACACTTTACATTTACATCCTTACATTTTTAGTAATTAGAGATAAAAATATATATTTGCTTAATATAACCTTGAAATTTCAGTGTTACCACCACTTGATATTGTGAGCTGAGGAAACATAGAGCTGCATCTTATTATATGTAAAATAATTATTATTTTCATTGCAGAATATCAACTATTTTATCTATATAAATTTATATTCATTATTTCATATTTAATGTTTTGAATATTTCATTTCTCCACTACATATATTTTCATTATATAAATAAATACTGGGTTAGGAGGGAGCATCAGGGTCTCATTTGATCTGGGACTGGACGATGGAGTGGTATGACAACCGGAGTCTAGGAGGGAATAAACACTATCATTTTCTTTATCCTACCAATTCGATTGTGGTGGTGTGAATTCTACTTCAACAGTTTCAGTTAGATTGACGCTCCCTTCTTTACAAACCATCCTGTAGGAAGCTTAATAAGTATTGCGAATTGTGTTATTCGATTTGTTAGATCGTATCGTTGGAAGGAGATTTTTAAATTCCCGTGGATTTCGTGTAAGTGTCACTGCTTACGGGTCTGCACCTCCGTTTTTGGATATTGTGAATTCAGATCGGTAGCTCAAATTGATCTTGCTATTAAGTGGAGCTGCATACAAGACAAGATCTGTGAAGGGATGGTGGCTACCTTACATACATACATACAAAACAATTTTACTTTTTGACCAATCGAAATATTTTCGTTGCTACTTAAGTCACCCGATTTCTATGGAGATGCCGTTTGTCTTAAGTAACAGCCCAGAGAAACCCGTGAAAAGTGTACGTTCGTCGTTTCGCATTCTCATTATTAATTAGTGTTGCTAAGATGATTTCGGTGATCCTAAAATGATGAACGTGCAGCCCCGTAAGGAGACGTAATTGATAATTCACCCGAATATCCTGGTAAATACACTTTGACTTAAGTAACATTAGGGGGCCACCCAACGACGTTTAATAACTGTTGACTCAAACACCAGTATATTGTAGCATGAAAGCTAGCAATCTGCTTTGTATTATTAAACCCCTGCTTAATGTGTTAAACATTGCTATCACTATGAGATTATATGTGTTTAATAAAAATAGGAATAACTTTTCCGTAATGAAAACAAAACTTTATTTTTCTCGGATCGGTGTGAATGTTACTTTTGACATAATGAAAATTTTCTGTTGAATTATTCCTTTGGCTCTGTTCATGAGCGGATTGTGATCCTCTAGTAAAATGCAGAAATTCAAATGATTTTTTTAAGAACGACGTGGATGTTTGAAATTTTTCACACATATTTAGCTGTCGTACTTACATTACATTGTGTTTATTTTCCTTTCTTTCAGGTACACGACTCACTACAATTACAATCATATCACATTAGTTGGATTCAGCACACACAGGTTTGAGCTTCTTCCAATTATTTCTACTCTTTCGGGCCCACGTGGTCATATATGAAGGCCTATCATTGCACTGTGGTCCAAGGAGACAACATTTGGATCTTTTTGACGTAGGACTGTTAACTTAACTGGGGTGCAAATCATGATCATGAATTCTGTGATGAAATAGTGTTAGATTTTTAACGCTTATAACATGGTCATTTATGAATGATTTTCAATTTTGATTACACAGTTTGATTCAGATGGAATGCATGATTTGTTTGGTGTTATCAGTGGTGTTATCAGTGGTTAATTATTGAAAATTTATCAAACTGTTTAGCTATTATCAACCAACCATTATGATCATTCTCTGCGTGGCCGTCAAGCAGTTCAGTTCAGTTCAAATTTCTCGAGTTGTTCGGTTAAAGTTTGTTTCGTTATTGTTTTTTCGTTTCGCTTCCTGGAAGTGTCGTCATCGTCACACATGTGGTATATAGAGTGGAATATTAATGAATAAAAATGATAACTTAATATCAAGGTATAAAAAAAAATACTTGGGTAATGAAACACACAATTTGAGTAAAATCTCGTTGGCGTGAAAAATCGTGCAGGTAAATCCCGTCACAGCTAGCAGCCAATAGAGAAACAGATGAAAATAACGTAGGGTATCAATACGGGCTCATAGAAAGTATTCTTGTGACGAATTTTGGAGGTGATGGACCACCAGCAGCAACAAAAGTAGCAGCAGCAGCAGTAGCAGCAATAGAAGGGAGCTCGTGGAAGCTGCATCGTTAATCCGTTAATAGTTTGGTTCAACTTGCCAAAAACCAACAAATGGTATGTCAGCGTACTAGCGTATCACCAGTAGGGGACCCTATGAAGAAGGCCCGAACACTGATAACCATGTGATACAATGCAACCAGTTCTGGAGGTGGTGATGACGCCGTTGCCATCACAAAAAAAGGAGCGGATTCCCCCGGATGTCGACCAACCTAGGACTGTGTTGGCAGATCACAACCTACAGCCTCGGTTTATACTCTGCAGCGTCTGTAGGAAAATTATGTGTACCAGCCTGGAGGGGTACAAGTCGGTCGAGAGTATCCTGAAGGACAAAAAGGTGGATTTTTACCCTTATGATTTGCCGTCGCTGAAGCCATTGTTGGTGGCTCTGCGAGGTTTGTCGTCAGTTGAGGCGGCCATTGTAAAGGCTTAGTTGGAGCGGCTTGGTATTAAACCAGAGGCAATGTATCCGATGAATCAGTTACCCTTGCCGAACACCAGGTACCGGGCCAGTTATTCCTGGCCCACTTTACGAAGGGCTCCATCACACTTGCCGGGCTGAAGGACAACATCCGGGAACTGTTCCAGGCTATCATCTCTTGGCAGTCGTACAGACCTCAACACCGTGGTGTAACGCAGTGCATGAACTGCCTCTCTTACGGCCATGGCACGAAAAATTGCCATATGAGCCACTTTTTCAGCTCTCATAATCTCGCACTGAACATGGCAAGTCCATACGATACTACAGTTGCTGAAAATGCAGCCATCCTCCATCGAATTCCCAACAACGACGAACTGTTGGATGGAATATGGAATCATCTAAAAACATGAAGGTCCCAGATTTCGACCAAATTTTTAATCTAGAATTCAAACACTTGAGCTCCTGGTTCTTCAACCAACTGGCACTGATATTTACCACTGATATTTGCCTTAGACTTGGCTGCTTCCCCTCGTGCTGGAAGTCATCTTAAGTCCATCCGGAAACCTGGGAAAGATCTGTCCTCTCCTTCAAATTACCGACCCATCAGCCTTCTCTCGGGGTTATCTAAGCTGTTCGAAAGAGCAGTCTACCACTGGCTCCTAGCATGTGCTGATGAAAACAACTTGTTGCTCGAGCAACAGCTCGGCTTCCGTAGAGGTCGCTCGACTGTTCACCAGCTGACTCGGGTGACAAACATTCTCTGACGGAAGAAGTCTGTATCCAAAACATCTACCATGGCATTGTTGGACGTTGAAAGGCTTTTGGTCTACAAATTGCAGTGATACGGTTTTTTGATCATCCTTGTGAAGATCTTAAAAAAAATACTATCTCTCGGACAGGAAATTCCGGGTCTCTCTGAATGGCATCACATCGGATGCCTTTAACATCGGTGCAGGTGTTCCACAAAGGAAGCATTTTTGGACCCATCTTGTTAAGCCTGTTCACCTCCCATATGCCGGCCCTCCCTGATGGTGGATCGTTATCCCTGTTCGAAGATGAAACATCCATCGTCTATAAGGGTATGATAATCGGAGATCTGACCGCCAAACTTCAGAGAGGACTGGATGTCCTGTCTGATTATTTCAACAGCTGGAAGATCCGTATAAACGTGGTGAAGACCCAGGTCATCATATTTCTTCATTCCAAATCTCCTAGAATTGTTCCGCCTGAGAGTAATAAGATCAACTTAAACGGCACAGTGGTGTAATATCATAGTTGATTATGGTGGGGGAAAAAACATTACGATTTATCCCAGGCTACTATTGCAGAAAATCGCAACTGATAGATATTGAGTGGAACGCTTCGAATTGTTTAGAAAAAAAAGGCGCTCGTGTGATTCAGTTTGAGATATATTATATACTACTTTCTAGAACGTAATTTCATTTGAATAGCTTGTTTAATCAGGGCTTAAACAATCGTCACGTCGGTCAAAGCTTGTTATGGTAACCTGAACAATGCGTAAAGAGCCAATCGAAACATTAAACGATCTCGATTGGAGGAACTTAATGAACTTAATGAAAGCCGTAGCTTTTAGTGTACGAATTTGAAAGATCGTCGGTAGCAGTGGCTTCCCAACAAACATTGAATATTGAATAAGAGCTTATTCAGGCAAAACCAACCTTTTTCAGCTAAAAAATAGCTTAATCAGCTGTTGATCAACTCAAATTGTTTGTTGGGTTGCTTACTAAGTAAACGTAATCCAAAGTCTTTGAATATTAAAGAGATTTATAGTCAAATCGGAAATTGTCGTTGTCGTCGGTGCCATTCAAACAACAACACGTTTAACGGTATGCTGTGATATAAGGGGCTCGGTGGCCTTAGAGCCACCGTTTTTACTTACTGAGCAAAACATTACGAGTGTTATCTCAGACCCATCCACATTCAAGATTCGTCAAGCATTTTCTTTGTTAATATGACTACATGGCATGGCAATAACAGCAACTCGATGATTAAAAAGGAGCTCGTTTACCTGATGGCAAACGTTTTTGCTTACTGAGAAGAAGACCTTGGGTTCAATTTCAAGCTTCTTCGCGTTATATGATCGTTAGGACATCATTTTAGCTTATCGTTTACCAAAACGAACCCTGCTGCAATCCCAACCCTCTTACCCAACATCTCAGTGATTTCTCGTGGAAGTGTAGAGGACTACCCGGCTTCCAGCAAAGCGAGTGTCACGTCCACACATTCCTACCCATTCCTTTCTTGACCTATGTTCGGGTGCGGCCGGCGTTGGTATTGCCCAGTTTGAGGATGAATTCTAGTCCCAAGCATCGTCTATTGGTTCTCTGTGTAGTTAAAACTGATCTTGCAATAACAAAGTACCAATCGTGGGTGGTCGGAGCCTCTCGTAGCTTAGTCGGTAAAGGCGCAGCTACAAAGCAAGACCATGCTGAAGGTGGCTGGGTTCGATTCCCAGTTCCGTCTAAGAATAATTTGGTTGGAAAGTTTCTCGATTTTCCTGTGCATTAGGTATGATTGTACTAGCCACACAATTATACCAATGCAAAAATGATACAGGTATCGAAAGCTCTCAATTGATAACTGTGGAAGTGCATCTAGAACACTAAGTTGAGAGCACGCCATAAGCTAAAATGCGATAAACATTAAGCTTGAAATGCGAAGAAGAAAAAGAACCTTGGGTGATCAATCATGCTCATGCTCATGCTCAAGAGGTTCCCTAATTGACCCTATCTTACTTTTCTTTTCTTTTTCAGTTTCTACCAAATTTATTTACATGCTCGATTAGAACGTAGATTTTGTCACATGTCTACACAAATAAAGTCATGCAAATTTACTTCAAATTTGAGTAAGTCTCTAGGACCAAAAACTGGAGCACAAGTGCCATATCTGGCTCACTTACCCTACTAGAGAAAAACGTATCCCGAATCTGATGCAGATTAAATTTACAAACACTTCAAACAACCATAGTTGTACGGTGAACCTACATGAATTATCCACATTCTGATCCAAATATCAGCGGTCCTCAACTTTGACACACACACAGGTTACTGTTCCCCAAAAACAAGCAAATAATGTTTATCCTGCCAATTATACCAGCTCGATTTTCATTCATCATAGTATCTCAAATCAAATCAAATTCGTTCGGGAGAATCCACCGCCGAGCCCACGGTGCAAATGTTAGCTCGGATCAATCAAATCAAATAATATGAATTTTTCATCCTCTTCCAATATTGGACCCCGTTGAAGGTGGAAAGGGAGGGGCTTTCCATTCTCTTCAGTCAGTGATTGTCTGTGTATGTGTGTCTCCAATCTAGTTACCATGGACCACCGTTGCTTGGAGTTTTACTCCCGCACCAGGGCTCAGACTGGTTCACTTTACAATTCTTTGGATTAGGGGGCTGTTACTGAGGTTCAATTTGAAACCTGTTAATTTAGCAATTGGGTTCTTTAGTTGTATTAAGGTAATTGCATATTCGTAATCTGAATTTTGATGGAACCGAACTCCCGAACTTCATCAATTTTGGAGTACTGGATCGGTTTTAAATTTATGTGTAATTACATTAGCAAAAATCACCATCTTAGAGCCCCTCAGCGGTACGAGCTGTTAATTTGTTAATTTTGTGTCAAATAGTGAAGTGGTTATTTTGCTTTAAATTTTGATTGTAAAATCGAGACAAAAAAAATGCTTTAATCACATTTCAGTTCCATATGAAAAAAGTTGGCATTGATAAAATGGCAGTTGGCGTTACGAAGTGCAATTTCCATAATCATATTAAATTTATTCATAATTTGTTTAAGTAAAAATCAGTTGCATTCAAGCAGTTGCATTGCTTGCTTTGTTATATCAGCGAAAAAAATAGCAGCTCTAAAAGCAGAACTGTAACTTGTCCTCTGGACGATTAAATTTCAGTATGGGACTGATATGCGATTACTTTGCTTAAGCATGAGCATTAGACTGATGCAAAATTTGACTTTTTCGCTCCACAGTGCTTAAATGGTTTCAAATCGGGTCCTGATAAGCCTCCCAAAGTTACAACTCATTTGGATAGAAACAGACTTCGCACAAGCCATTTGAAGTTTACATGTAAAATACTATTGGAAATCTCAACTTTTTGTTCATTGCCTTCTAGCGTTTTTCCATATTGAGCTACGAAACAGTTCGATAACCTATCTTATAGAAAATTACTACAGCTACAACTTTGCTGAAGATCGTTTTTATGTAAAACGAGACAGGAAAAAGTAATTAATTATTTAAGAGATTGGTAAACTTATGATATGATCAAGCAGCTGCTCTGTAGGCAACACTGTATTTTGCAGTGTGACATAGTAGCCATGATTTTTGTGTCCTATTCAAATCCCCAGCTGAGCAGTTGATTGAGCATGATCATAAGACATCAGCGCATTGAACCATTGATAACTTTCGATCCTTGCATTTAATCAAAAAATGGTCTTCAGCAATGTTTTAGCTGGGAAAATTTCCTACAAGTAAAATTGAAAGCTTTTGAAGCAGACCGATATGGTGAATTATTAGATCGATATGAACAAAAATCTTGGTTTTACCATAGTAATTCCCATACAAACTTCAAATGGTTTGTGCCATCTCAGTTTCTCACCAAATGAGTTCAAATTTTGAGAGGTTAGTCAGGATCCGATTTGGAATCGTTTAAGTATTGTGGAGCGAAAATTTCCAATTTTGCATCACTCTAATGAGCATGATCATGAGCTTGATTGACTACCCAAGGATGCAGCTCTGTTATTGTCAGATCAAATGTAATTACACAGAGAACCAATAGACGTTGTTTGGGACTAGCATTCAACCTCAATGGGTAAATACTGGTGATCTAACATTAGGCAATACCAGCGCCAGCCACGTCCAAATGCTGGTCAAGAAAGGAATGGGTAGGAATATGTTGACGTAATACTCAATTTAATGAAAGCTGAGAACACCTCTGCACCTTCGCGAGAAATCACTGGGATGTTGGATAAAAGGGTTGGGATTGAAACAGGATTCGTTTTGTTATCGTAAACGATATGCTGAATTGATGTCCTAACGATTCTATAGTGCGAAGGAGCTTGGGTTTGAACCGCCACGATCTTCTGCTCAGTAAGCGAAATAGGTTGCCACTAGGCCACCGAGCTCCTTATATCACCAAACAATTACGATCA